TGTTGCATGTTATTTATGCATCAAATGTTCTAAGTCCTCGAATAGTTAATCTTTTTCTAATTACAATTAAGTAATATTTCAATTGATATGTAGCGTACGTTTCAATAAATTCCTAAGAAAATCGTTTCATGGCACGACTACTTTAATTCATTATAGAACAAAAAATTCGGAATTACAATGAAACTTTGCATACATTATTTCGAATACACGTAATATACGTGCATAACGTGACGAACAGGTGGAATAAGGAGAGCGTGCGAAAACGAATTCTTGAATGGAAAATGTACAAGATGTAATTCGAGTTACCGCCGACGCGCGTCGAAATTAAAATAAAGGAAACGACGAACAGAGCGAGAAAGAGAGAGGGAGAAGGAATGTTATTTTACATCGTAGGAAAAACTGTTTTCCAAGCGCATTGGAAACGCTGTAAATACGAAAAATAAAAATCATCTAAAATAATAATAGAGATATAATGTAACAAATAGATTACATGAAAAGAAATTTATAGTAAGAGTTACAATGGAATGTTGTTGCCGACGAATACATCGAATAGTTTGTCTTATTTATTGTCTTAATTTATCGTCTTTCCGTTTCACATGTGCTATTTATATTGTAGAAACTGAAATCTACTATTAAGAATTTACTATGTTCCTTTATGAAACTTTATTCCTGCGCGATAGTCTTCTATCGTATATTCTATATATAGTCTTATCAGAATATTCTTATTAGAAGACATGATAAAATTGAACAAATTTTATATCGGGAAAAGCTACAATAATATTGTCTCTGTATGCACAGGAGAGAGAAATGTAATATATTAATTCAAATACGATTGTAATACATTGAAGAGACAAGATAAGTGATAAATGAATAGACGTACGGAGATATATAAATAGATAAAGATAATTGAATAGATAGGTAGAAATTGTGTTAAATAATTCGATAGATAGGAATAAATTAGTAGATGGATAGACAGATAGGTGGGTAGATTGATTTATTACGCGCCTTGAGAAGACTCCTCCTGAAGCACGGTAAAAATACAAGAAAAAAGGAAGAGTAACGGAGAGAACGAGAGATAACTGGGAGTCGAGGAGCGCATTAACGACTGCGCGAGAGTCGCGAAACGAGATCACGGCCGATCCATGGACGCGTTAACGACAGGTTGGAGGTGAAAAGAGAGGAGGAGAGGGGAAAGAGGAGCTGAGGACTCGTGCTCCCTCAGGACTGCGAAATCCCGGCCGGGACGTGGCGGTGACGCGAAGGATTCCGCCCGCGTCTAATTCGGTCGGCTCGCGGTGGCTTTTCAGATCCGGCGGCACGCTTTTCTCCGACCGTGGCCACGCTCTGCGTTCGATCATCGACCGAAATAGCATTGGCATTGTTCCGTTTCCCTCCAGAGGAACCGGCTCTCTCGCCGGCAAGGAGGTCGACTAATTTCGACCCCTTCGCGCGCCGCCGCAAGCGCCGATACTATATGTCTCGCTTTGCTTCTACGACGGGATTACGTGCGATCAACAGATCGATCGATCGACCGATCAGTGGACGGATGGATGGATCGATCTCGAGAAGCACGGTCTCGCGAGGTCCGACGTTTCGCTTTTACGACTCATCGATTAACCATTAACTATGAAAACGGACTTACACGCTCTCGGTGAGCCCGCTCTTGGCTTTTACGGGCAGAGTCAAGGTCCGGCCGGTCAGCCCCGCTCACTTTCGACAAAGTCGCGGCTTCACCGTGCGAAGTTTGATTATACTTCGACGGTTGGTCGTTGGGAACTTCGATACGTTACACGTTAAGAAGACTCGTCGAAATAAGTCGAGAACCATATTGAACAAACTGAATATCAGGCTTGTATATGGCGAGAATTAATTGATCGAATTCTTTCGGCAATATCTTGGGGTCTTTATAATTCCTGTTTGTGCGGAAGAAATGTAAAATTTTGTTCAATTAAGGGGGAAGTCTACTGTGACAAGGGAAAAAACAGGCCGATTTTCCGAATTTTTTTTCTAACAAAATATGACTCGTACATTCAATTAAATTAAACCGTCAACTTTATTATATATTCAAGTATTTGTAAAAAAATTTTCAAGTCGAAATATTCAAAATTGTGGTCGTGGCACTCCTTCAACTGCAGGTCCGTTTTTTTAGGTGCCCAAACGATGTACATGAAATCTCACGTCTGGGTGACCTGAAACAAAAAACAAAATATGGTTATCATCTACATAGTATTGACTCTCGTCTGACGGAGGATTTTGTCGATAAAAAATTTTGGCGTCGAAAAAAATATTCTTGAAATTTTTTTCTATTTTTTTGCCCAAATTTGATGTTATTACTGTTTATAATAATTACACAAAAAACGATATCAAAAAAATGCTCCGCCAGACGAGAGACACTATTCCAAAGAATATGTGGTTAAATTTTTAAGTCGATTCATTCATTAAAACTCGAGATATCGTGTACACCGTATTGAAAAACTTAGTTTCGAGAAAAACGCGTTTAAAGTTTCGGCATTA